GTGTGGTTATCAGTCTTAAGGCATTCCACGCCTGCGCACAACGAGAATCACATAACAATGGGATGATTATAAGGAGAATCACAGGAGAATGCATGATTATACTAAAATAATGATTATGTTAAACATCACTGATGTATCCCTAAACAACCACAAGATGGAGCTCTAAACTCCAAAATCCCGACATTCCCTCCGTTTTTATTTCATTTTGGATGAGCAAGGTGCTGCCAGTTATAGACATCAGCAGGCTCCGAATCCAAAGAATGACGTTGTTGATGGAGGGGAACATCCATGGCATCCCATCCTGTAGGTGGTGCATCAAGGGCAGGAAAAAATTCTTCATCATCTCTAGAATGCAATACATGATATTTGATTTGATACATTTGCTTAGCAGATAAAGACATTGATTTCACAGATTTGCGGCAGCACTTAAGGAAAACATGAATCAATGAAGGAATACATTGCAAAAAACAGCAGATGACAATAGCAATGATCAAGAAAATGATACCATACATCAGGAGCATGCGAAGCCATCCGAGATCTGGAAGCCAGGACCACAAAAAATCCCAAAAGCCAGTCCACGGGGAAGTGTAAATATTATTGGTAATGGCAGCATGTAAATCAGCTAATTCATGTTCAATTGAACGATTCAAATTATGAAAGCGAACAATACATTGAGTACCTACTATTTTGCAAAAGCCTGTAAGAGATCGTGCAAGCAGATAATCAAGAGCCAAACGATGCTGCAATTGGATTTGTTGCAACTGTTCTATTTCATTCTGCAGATCTCTAATAATTTTTGTAGTAGCATTTACTGTTTTTTTCCAGGCGACAAGTCATGCCCAGAATGCTATGCCTGTTTTCTTGTGCAATGATGCCTGGATAGGATCCTAAGGTGAGCATACCTGTAACTGACCCTCCTCCAACACGGCCTGCATCAGAGGATGACATTTGTGCTCGCACTATCACTTCATCCTTGCAATGAGGACCCAATGGTCCAAAGTGACGGTCCTTGTGAAGATTAACTGACCGTCTCTTTCTCCTCTCACTAAAAGATGAATTAGAATAGGCAGGAGGGGAGGAAGTAGGGTATACAACAGAAAAAGGTAGTGTGGAATCAGAATCCACATCATTAATAACAGTCAGAGGATCTAAGACTTGTACAGGGAAGGTTAAAAACCCTATACCTGCACAAGCGCCAGAAAGATAACCAGGATGAAAATTTGTCGCATACTGATCAAAAAAGAACCATAAATTTGGATCTTTCAGAAGCATGTGAGCACAGATTGACCCTTTCCCTGTAAAGTTAGCCTGCATGAAAGGAAAATCAGGATAAATGTCGGCCAAGGTGGAATGTTCTGTAGAGACATTCACAAGGCCAGTGGGATTAAGGGAGGCATTCATATAACCAAATTTGCCTCCGTGTTGTGCTGAGAGCCAGAATTCATTGTTACATGCTGTATAATTTTTTAAAGCTTTAAAGCGGTGTGCAGATTGATTGAAACCTGGAACCTTGGTATTCCAGTTCCCTTTATGTGTACAACAGAAACACAAACCATGAGTATGGCGAGTGAATTGAAACCATCTAACCTTTGACATCTTAGGAGTAGGAGGAACAGCATGGAAAAGAAGTTCAGATTGACCAGGTTCTGAAATACTTTGCAAAGAGGCAAGAATTAGGGTTGGATCATTAATAAGAGCAGGCAGCAGGCTCATGGAACCCACAGCTATAGGGGATTCATACAAAAGAGAAACATTCTGTCCATGAACATCAAATATGTACCGAGCATGTTGTACCCAAGAGTTACCCCCCGTGCCCGGGGCAGAAATATATGGAAAGAAGAACAGTTCAAGCAGTCCTAAGAGTTGGATTGCGGAGGTCCACGCCATGGCCGAACACATCTCGCTGGAATCCAAGCAGCTCCTTTGTCCAAAGCGACCGCGGCGGATCCTCTTCCCCAAGTTATCAAAGGAACCGGGCCCTGCCACTCTGGATTTGGCGGCTGGCGGTAGGAGACCAGTGGTCGAGGAAGCGGCTCTTCGGACCTGAAATGAAGTTCAACTGGAGTGTGAGCCCTGTTATGAGGGAAAAGCAAAAAATTTAAGGTATACAGAACTTTTGCAACAACCATTGGAACATCTGCCACAGAAATCCCTTTGCCGGAGGTTTGCTTCTGCAAAAGAGATTTAAAGGTTAAGTGTGCTCTTTCCACAATCGCTTGCCCTGTGGAATTAAAAGGAATTCCATGCTTCAGTTGGATGCCCCATTGAACACAAAAATCTTGAAAGGCAGATGATGTATAGGCCGCTCCATTGTCCGTTTTTAAAACCTTTGGACGGCCCATTACAGCAAAAGTTCGGATGCAATGCTGAATGACATGTCTTGCAGTCTCTCCACGAAGCGGAGTAGCCCAAATAAAACCAGAGAATGTATCCACAGTCAAATGTAGTTTAGACAACGGAGCTAAAGCCTGCACTTGTGTGACGTCCATTTGCCAAATTTCATTTGCTAGTTCCCCCCTGGGATTAACAGCATCATACTGTAGGTTTAAGGGAGATCTGCTGCAGGCAGGGCAGGCTGCTACAATGTCTCTTGCCTGTGTCATGGGGATAGAAAACATTCTGTGAAGAGTTTTCGCAGACTGATGAAACATTTCATGTGAAGCAAACGGATCAGAAAAAATATTGAAGGCACATGCATTCTGCTTGAGAAATGAATCAGCAACAGCATTCCCTTCAGTTATATATCCAGGAAGTTGAGAATGAGAACGTATATGTGCAATGAAACAAAATGTTGTCCTGCTCTGAAGTAACGATTGAAGCCGGGAAAAGAGAGAATACAGGTTCTTATCCATACAAGGAGAGAGATAAGAAGAAGGCAGATTTATGAGGAGTTTATAAACATATTGTGAGTCTACAATAAGGTTAAAATCATCATTAGAAAAAAGTTCAAAGGCTAATATGACAGCAGCTAATTCTGAGCGCTGGGCTGAAGATTGCTTGTCTGTGAAATTCGATACCCATTGTCCTTCATGATCCTGCCACACGACAACACCTCGAGAAGGCGAACCATCTGTGAAGAGAGTGCGTGCATGGGGGAGAGGCTGGGGAGAAAAACAGGAGGTTAATTTATAAGAAACACAGGAAAGGAATGTCAAGCGTTTGTCTTTTGGAGGGTTAGGCAAAATTTTTCCAATGAAATCAGCAGAGGCGATTTGAAAAGAATGTGATGTTTGTAGCAGCTTGTCAACATCATCCTGTGAAAAAGGAAAATAAACAGAGTTAAGATCTGTCCCTGACAGTTGGCAACATCTGGAGCGAGCTTTGGCAAATAAATCTGCCACTGCGTTGACCCAGGGGTACAAGTTCCTTGAGGGAGTGTGGGGCAAGTGCAGCCATTCAATAATTGCAATTCTATCCTTCTTGTCCGGAGCATATAGGACTGCAGTTGGCAGCAGTGGTGTAGCTAAGATAGCACATGAAAGGAGAGTGTCTTTTGTGGGCAGACGGTCCACAGCCTGCAGACGAAATCTTTGAGAGATCAGCTGTAATGCGGCTTTCATAGATGCAGTAACAGGGATTACATCAGCAGGAGAGGTATGACCAGCAAGTGCAGCAAACAGTGGTGAGAGATCATTGGTAGAGAGTGCCAAAAAAGGACGTGCCCAATTGATGTGTCCCAAAAGGCTCTGAAGTTCCATTAGCGTAAAGGAAGAAGGTATTTTAAGCTGTGGTAAAGCAGGGATGGATGCTGTTTCAGACATCTTGTGGCCCAAATATAGAAATGGAGGTACTGTTTGAACCTTATCCGGGGCAATACAGAGTCCAAATGATGTTAATGTAGCAGTGAGGAACTCCATATGTTGTGAAGTAATTTCTTTAGCAGATATCAAGATATCATCCATATAATGATATACCAGTATGTGTGGGAAGGCTTTGCGGAAT